GGATCATTGTCCAGCTGAAGCACCACTTCTCCCACGTCAAGTCGGTAATATTCCATTGTTGGGAGAAATTAGTCCTCGAGGATGCTTTCATACAGTTTGGCATCCATTCTTCCTTCTATTCAACAGCCACATCCGACTCCCCAGGCTGTCATGAAACCCCAATACATCAGGCTGCCTCAAGCATACTTGCGGGTGCCCCTCACATGTCGATCTGTTACGGCCTCGCCGGGCTATTTCCATATCCAAGCACGCTCATCCGACCTCAAGAGGTTGATTTTTGTCTCGTCTGACCAAATTATACGTTTCTAGTCCTCTATAGTCCAGTGCTTGTTGCAACGAGCGAATTCCAGACGCTGTCGGACGTGCCGCGGCAGGAGGTTGCGGCTTTTTCTGCTTGGTTGCTGCCTTCAGACCAGCCTCTTTCAGGGCTCTGCGTACTGTTTTGGTACTGCATCCTACTGCGGTGTTGCTCTTGAACAGCCTCGCTGCTTCTACTGCGGTGTCGACCTGTCCCGAGGTCACCATCCTGACGAGTCTGCGCTTGTCGACGGCGGAGAGCTTGGCTGGACGCCCATCACGGGTTTTTGGTGCGTGGGGTATCAATTGTGCGCGCACCCTGGATACTGTTCTATAGCTTATGTCAAGCTGGGCTGCGATTCGACGCGTCGAGAGGCGATGGTCGACGAGTGAGGCAATGTTGTCGCGGGTTTGTTGTGAAATCGGTTTCATGTTATCAGGGACGTTCAAATGAAGCCCGGTCTGACCCAATGCCCGGTACCGATGTCCTCCATTGTCGTGGAAGGAGTTACCATGATCTTGAGAGACTACCCCCGAACACCCGAACCTGTTCAATGAACGTTTCATAAAGTTATTACCAGTGTTCAATTAACGTCCTTGGGAACGTTCTATTGACTGCTTAAATGTTAAAAATTCAAAGCAATGAAAAATAGCTCAATTTATGAGTTCATTGAACTACGTGAATTTGATATTCCCATGGAAAGGGTTCAATAAAACTGTATTTTTTTAGGATTCATCCGATATGCATGTTTCATATTATTAACATGTTTCATACGTTCTTTTCATCACTGCAATTGCATTCGGTCTAAGTAGAGCCCTACTAACGTGGCTGTGGTTAGATGTCTTTATGTGGTCGATCAGTAGGATTGAAGATACTATCTTACGCTGGGTGGGATAGTCTGACGGAGAAGCGTGGGGAAATTCAGGGGAAAACATTCAACCCCCCCACCCCACCCAAATCCCTTATTTTTTAGAGATGTGATTATGAATGCTGAAATTATTTTCAAGGAAGTAATCTTGAAGAACCATCCTCCCTCTATCGTTCGAGCCGGAGTTCTCTGGAGACTCCTTGGATTGGGCTATCTCCAATGGCAAATTTGTTCAAGAACTGGAGTGTCTTCCGCTCTGGTTAATATGGAGAAAGATCGGCTACATTGTGTTAAGTATTGTGGACTAATTCCATCTATATCAGAAATTGACCAGTTTTAGGGACTACTTTGGGGCCATCTATCTTCGGTTGTGCGTTTCTTTTTTCTTTCAGCCGAGGTCAGTTGGATACCAATGATATGCTTGAGGAAAATTACATGAGCGTTCAACGAATTTCCTTAAAATGCGAAGTATCATGATTAAAAGGCACCTTAACTGAACGCCGAAAAGTGCTTAAGCCGGTACACTGGATGTCCAAAGACCTCTTTGATAACATGTTGAACATCCTCGAAAGCGTTTGTGTGCTACTAGGGCAATGTCATCTGTATAATAAAATCTACTGTGGTCCGCGGTGGTGGTGATCGTGGTAAGTGGTTCGTAGCATGCGCTTGCGTACATGTCAGACGCGTGCGCTCAACGCGATCGCGTGTGCTCTCCCCATAGAATTCTCTGCGTGAACGTTTCCATCTAACTGGCTTGCATTTCCTTTCCGGCCGTTGCGACTGTGGGATCTATTCTGGAGAACGAAATAGCCCGGGAGATGGGGGAAGAGTTCGGATGAAGTTGGAAGACGAAAAGAACATTGGTGACTGATTCCAGCTGCATCAGGAATTGACAGGCTATAGCAACTAATTTGACGCCATCCAGCGTCGGTTTTGCGAATTTTGTCCAGAGAGGGGGCGAGAACCAAATTCAGGGCCTCCAGATTGCCGGTCGCGTGCGCTAACACTACACCACCGAACCCAAGACTTTCAATTATAACGCTCCACGTCGTCCCTAACATAACAAAGGGAGAGAGAAACATTCTATGCACACCTCCCGCTCTCTACTTTGAGGGGTTCGATATGGACTTTTCCGCAGGGACGTGTAAAAAGTTCCCGTGTATTACACTTTGAGTTCTCTTTCATCTCTGGAGGAAGGATCCCGCGGTACCTACTACTCCTCTCCGCCAAAGCTCACCGCAGGTCTGCTTTAAACTCTATGAATCTCTCCCTACGTGCTGAACTATTCTCAATCGCTCTTTTCTGCCATTAGCCTAAACTGAAGTATTAGACCCATGTTCCCATGTAGTTCCGTGCTTTTGCACGGGCTACCTACTAGTATGTATGAAGCCTGCCATCATTGCCACGTGATTATCTTCGGCACCCGATCGGTGAATGAAGCGAAGGAGGCGAATGCGAATGGGATTGAATAAAAAGATAGCTCCCCTATTTCATCAAGGACGCAAAAAAATCCTAGGATTTCCGGCAGCAGGGGGGAGGCATCACGGTGAGCGATGCCGCTGTTCCCTGCGATTATACCGGCGACTCTCGTTTCTTCGTTCTCCCGAGAGATGACGAGACGAGAGCGAATCTCCGATTTTGCATGAAAGTTGCATCCTCTCCCTTTCCTGTGGCCGATTTAGAAATATAATGTTGAAAAGGCAAATCTTCGAAAGATAATGAAGAGTTCTGTCGAAACCCCAAGTTCATATCTATAAGCATTTGGCCTGTAGAGTTGTCACACACACACACACACACACACACAAACAAACAAACAAAAAAGGAATCAATCAAGAATCTCAGCCTAGCTAGAGGTCAGAATTGCGCACTCATATATTTAACCTCCGGACCTCGGTCATGGAACCGGTCCTCCGGTTTGAATAGTAATGATGCAATTTTTTATGTGCCCATTCACTTGCCTTTTCGAAATGAAATTTTCAAATCGGCCATAAGAAAGGGCTGGGAGGCAATTTTCATTGCAAATCGTAGATTAGCTCTCGTCTCCCCATCTTTCGAATGAACTTAGAAACGAGAGTTGCCTTGGTTCTCGAAAGGCATCGCTCACAGCAGTGCCTCTCGCCTGCTGCCGTGAATCCATGGATTTCAAGGATCCATGATGAAATACCAGGTGATTCCTCAGCTCGTCACCACATGCGTTCACACGGACTTTCGCAAAGAAACACATCATCCTAATTGCCTCGTTTGCTTCCATGGTTCTAAATGCAATTAGCAGAATTTTACGAATAACCCAAAGAGGTCGGCGAGAGTGAGTTTTTATCCCTTTTAACCCTTTGGGGTTGGCATGCTTTCCCATATCGCAGTCGCATTGGTAGATGGCAAAAAAAAATGCAGGGGTACCGTTTGGGAGCTGGGATCTTGCAAAAGGAAACAACAATACGGTGATTTGCGGATCGTCGTTCTCCCGTGTGTTACATCTTACTTGATTTTTCTTCGCCTCCATTTGCATTAGCCAGAGAGTGCATAAATGGAGAGGCCTCCCCTATGGCGCGAGTCGCCGTACCCTTCCAGGCGCGTCCGTCGTCTTGCTGGAGTCCCTCAGCAAGGTTTTCCATGGCAGACACATGGATAGGGAAGGGCAAAAGAGGCCGAAAAGCAAAAGACCTCCACGCCGGGGCCCAAAGAAGCACGTTATTGATTCCCACGTGCAGGACCTACCGAAGATGGCGGAAGGAATTGGAATTTAGGAGGTAGCGAAGGCCTCTCCAGAGACATCTATATGCACTCCATGGGTATTCCTGACGGGGATGTCTCACTCCTGAATATGAGATAGCTGATGAAAAGATAAAACGTATATTATGAATTTGAATTTCCACACGTTCCTCCACCAGACTCTCCCAGACAATGTAGGATAGTACCATCAACCCTACCGATCGCCTAAATGTAGGCTCTTAATCCGAGCCACGTGAGCAGGGCTCTACATAGATTGAATGCAATTCATATGATGAACCTATCAGAGACGTTAATTATATATCGGTTGAAACCTAAAAGAAAAAAGCTTTATTGAACAATTTCCCTGGAAATATCTCATTAACGTAGTTCCAGGAAAGCATAATTTGAACTGTTTTTCATTGCTTTGAATTTTGAACATGTAAGCAATTAATATAACGTTTTCAAGGACATTAATGGAACGCTGGCTATACCTTGAATGAAACGTTGATTGAACACGTTCGGGTCCTACTTGGGTGGTGGTCTCTGAAGATCATGGTGATTCCTTCCACGACAACAGAGTATTTCCTTTCCTTCGGTTTTGCAGCAGGTTTTACCTGTCAACATCGTCCACCATCGGTTTTACCATCGTCCCAATTAGTGCTAGTGCGCATGAAGTGGAAGCTAACCATTTAATGAATACCTGTTATATTATGGTGTTTCTTGTCTCGTGGGCCTAGCCCTCCGCTGGAGCCCCCCCCCTCCCCCCGCTTCGTCCGCCCCTAGAAACGGCCCAGACTATGTCGAGCAAAATAATGCTGGATACCCAATTTACTTTTTTTCTTTCTTTCAAATTTTTCTGGAATATGTCAACAAATAGCAGACAATGTCCCGCGAAATTGACAAATGAACACCGATGCTGGAATGTTTTCCACAGAAATGGCCCAGGACCTAAGCAATCTTCCTAAGAACGAATAGCACAAGGGAAGGAATTAATTTCTGAGGTTTCAATGGCATGAGAGGAAAAGAAGGAAGCGAGAGTATTGATGAATCAAGTGCCATCGTCATTCTGCTCTTCACCCTGCTTCAGCTTTCTCTCACTCTAAGAGCAATAGTAGTTGAAGAGAATAAGTGGAAAATTATATTTATGCATCCTGGATCTCCCAATAATTCTACGAGTCAACGTGGATTGCTGGAATCCAATTTGAAGTGGCTCATGCGAAGTAGATTTCATTGAAATCCACCGATTTAGATGCAGTCTTGGAAGACCTCCGGATCCAAGTCTTGAAAGTCAGTTCCGTTCGTGCATTGACCCTTCACGCTTCCCAGGAAGTCCGGATTGAGCACAATCCAGGCCATACTACATCTGCACTCGACCGGATTCTCTGGAAAGCAAGGAGAAGGTGAGGAGTGTCAAGGCAGAGGAAAGGAGAGAAGGAACGTGGGAGGGTAACTCACCGGCTAGATCGATGTTCCCATCCCCCGAGGAGAGGACCTCCAGCATCGGGCGGAAGGACTCTTCCGTCAGTTCGCTGATTTGATTCTTCGATAGACGTATTCTCGCGTCTGCTGTGAATCCTATAATACGATATATGCCTTGCTATTCAAAAACAGCCACGAGCAGGACAATGGTGAGAGGAGGGGGTTAATTTCAAGCAACGTTTGTACCTGTGATAGAGTGTGATTCCAGGCTGGAGATGGTGCTCTGCTCGAGGCTGACGAGATCCAAGGCTGGACTGTGAAAACCCAACGTTCCGTTCAGTATAGTCTGTCCCAGTTGGCAGGAAATGCACCAGAACCTCTGTAAATTCGGCAAACTCCAGAAGAACCCATGCTGAACCTCCGACATCGGGCTATAATCTGCATGGGGTGAAATGAAAACATTAGAACAACGCACATCATCATTCTGAACATGTAGCTATCGTGTGGAGGGCCTCGAAAGTGGACTTTTAACGTTAACTTTAAGCCGAAAACAATCGAAAGATAATTTAGCACGAGCGGTTAATCGGAGGCAAAATAAAGGGTCCTGGCTTCACTCCACAGACAGGACAAGCCGTCTAAGGAGACGACTGATGACAAATAATAAAACGTTGTTCCAACAAAAAGGACAACAAGTATATAATTAAAGTTAAATTAAAAGAAAATAATAAATATCACAGATGTTAATTGAATTCTTGAGGAGGTCTTGAGAGTCTTTAGCAAGACGGAAAAGAGCACGGCGTCAAACGAGAGATCTCAGGCACAGCGACAGACGGCAGCGGAGATAGCAGACACGGATGGCGATAAGGACTCCAACAGCGAGAGAGCCAGGGACGAACCACACCGCACGACACCAGACGGAAGACGAAAAACGGCGTGCCCGGAAGGGGGAAGTCACACCCCCAGAAAAAACAATGGAGGGCTATGCGGGCCCAACCCTGACACGGGCAGAACACATGCAAGGCCGCGAACAAAATAACGTCCCGCGGGAGCCACAAAGCTCTAAGGTTACATTCGAATTTGCTCATAATAATTTTACTCATACGACATAGACAAGTAGCCTCCAAGTCACCGTAATTAACATAAAGTAACTCACCGAAAGAAAGAACCGTCAGGTTTGGCGCAGACCAGTTAGATTCGAGTCTGGTTATTCGATTGCCGCCGAGATCGAGGGTAGTGAGGCTTGGGCTTAAAACAGGCGGCAGAGCGGTCAAATAATTATTTCTGAGATCCAAATAGTACAGATGGGTGAGCTCGGGCAGCACCTCCCAGGGGAAATCCGCCAAGCCACTGAAATATATCTGCACGTGGTAGAGCCGATCTTTGGAAGGGAGGAGCGCCGAAGGATGCACGGTGGCCACGGCGGCATAGAAGATGATTATCGCCTCGAAAGTGACATTGCCGAACACTCCCTCCGGCAACTCTTGAACCGCCTCGTTCTCAATCAGCAGGAATTGCCTGGAAACAGATACGAGAAACAATCATTGTGTACTTTGATTAAATCCGATCGACGAGATATGAGTTCTGATTTAAATTGAGAATTCCCTTTAACATTTATACTTTTGGAAATTTGACGCTTCTTACCATTGCTTTAAATAATCGAATCCATGTTCATATTCAGTTTAAACCTGGTTTACAATGAATAGCCTGACCAGGTGACCAGTCTTGCACGAAGTAAATAATCCCGACCTCAAAGTTTTCGTAGGTATCATTTCGAATCCATAGAGCATAAGTTTCAGGTGATGTCTTTTTCGAGGAATCTCCTCGTCTACAGACCCTAGGGTGAGGGCGATATAAGACATACTGAGCCTGTACAGCACCCGTAACTATTACGATGGATATCGTAAATTTTGGGACAAAGAATGATTGGGTGTAGTATTGAGATAATTCAATTTTGAGTAGTTTTATTGGAGGTTTAAATAAACGGAAGCAAAGCATTTTCAGCAAAATAGTAGAAGCAAGCGAACTCACGCGAGCTCTGGGAATGGCCAAATGACGTCATTGAAGGCGGAGAAAATCTCCTCACTCGACGTTGCGCTTGAACAGTCCGCAATAACAGAGAATGAATCAGGAAAGTGAGAGCAGGTGCAAGGGAGGATGTCATCAGGATCGGGGCATAGGTCTTGCCCACTTGTCCCAGGAGCAAGGAGGAGGGAAGAGGAGAGGAAGGTAAGGAAGAGGAACGCGAAGCATCCCCGCATCTTAAAGCTGCACGGTGGGAGGTGGTTCGAAGACTGGAGCGGATACGTGGCGATCCGGAGCCAGTACGTTCATCGTATAGCCCTTGTTCTGGGTTTCCCCAAACGAATGTGAACAGCCACACTAGGCGACGTTTAGTCAGAGAAATACAGATTTAAAAAGGTCTTATTGAGAGAGAAATTTCCCGAGGGAATGAACATATGGTATTGAAGCACTACAAAAGTGGACCAAAAAAAGGGAAAGCATCCGGGCCGACCGGTCTGTTGCGCAAGAGCGGGAAAGTGACCGACCTTTTGAGGGGAAAGAAACCAATTTCTGCTCCTGTCTTGTCTGTTAAAAGAGACGCCTGTCACAGGCATTTCACAGCTCATTCCGCCATCAACCGAGAAGTTACCGTTGAATTCCGAGGAGGAATTGTTGTACGGAGTAGAGCTCTAGATTGATATTCGGCTTCCAGCATTCACCTGATTAGCATCTTCCGAAAATGACCTGTAGTTCCTTTTCTTCGCCACTTGGATGAGGACTCATCACTCTCGATCACGAAACTCCTCTGTAATGACGACGGGATTACTCCTTACTAAAATCAACTTTAAATGGTCTACCCATGAGTACTTTCCGAACCAACTGTGAATATGTGACTTGAAGACCCGAAGGCAGGGAAGGTTGGATGGCATGAGCGGTCGAAAGGAAGCCAATGGACCAGAGGTCGAAAGGAAGCCAATGGACCAGAGGTCGAAAGGAAGCCAATGGACCAGAGGTCGAAAGGAAGCCAATGGACCAGAGGTCGAAAGGAAGCCAATGGACGACCGGGAATTGCTGATCGCCGGTCATATGTGCTACCACTACACCACCGAACACTTCAACATTCAAGCATCCCTCTCAATGCCATTCTTATCATCACAAACAGGTCGTTTCCACAAAATCGCTAATTTGGATTCACATCGTGTCCTGAATCACTAAAAGTCTCCCGCTTGGTAATTGGCACATTGGGACCATTGCGGAAAAAAACTCCAATTGGGGAGGACGAACGCGATATTTTTGTGCAGTGGAATGAAATCTTCCACGTGCCATCCACGTGCCTGTCGTACCGGCATTCGTCCATGGATTAGAAGGAAACGCTTTCGCATCCAGTTCCCGCTTTCGTGCACAGGTGTGAGAAGTCCGGGAATTCAATATTCCTAAGCGGGTATTCTCTATGGGCACGATGGCCACTCCTTTCGCAATGCCTCAGGGAAGGCAGGGACAAATTTGCGGCAATCTCATCACTTACCAGCGCCTATGAAGCATTATTGCAATCAATATGCCATTATTTGGACGAATAAAATAATGGATATGACAGTATTTACTATTAATATCTCATAAGTAATGCAGTTTTTTCGCATTGCTAAATTTGTGTCTCTTTTATACGTATATCTGTGCACATCTAATGGAATACTTCTATGCTAACTTGTGTAGACGTTAGTCTTCAGTCTACGCGCAGGTTTTAACGAGTTAACAGCGCTCCGTTTTTCTTAGACGTTAAAAGCAAGATGGAGGTGTCAGAGGAACACATTAGGCATATAATGCTTTATGAATTTAAGAAAGGGAATAACGCGACAGCAGCCACGACTGGAGCTTCCTCACCAAAAACATTCAACATATTTTTGAACATTCAATATGTTTTTGGTGAGGAAGCTCTAAATGCGAGGAAACGGTGATTCCAAAAATTCAGGTCTGGCGACTTGAGCTGAGCCGATGAAGCGCGTTGAGGCCGACCTGTCGAGTTCGATGATGACTTGCTGATAGCCACACTTGAAGAAGATCTTGCGGTAACTGTTGAAGAACTTGCCGAGAAGCTCAATTCGACCCATTCCACCGTTCATTGCCGCTGGGAAATGGAGGGACGGGAAAAGACGGGCCAGGAAACGACGGGAAACAACGGTTGGGAAAAGTGTCAAAACTTGGAAAGTGGGTTCCACATGTGTGGTCACCAGAGAATCTTAGAGATCGAGTAAACATTTGCACTTCAGTGGATTCTCGTGAATTTCAAGCGCGTTTTTGAATCGACTCATAAGCAATTACCCGAAGTTTATCAGTTCCTTCTTCGTGAAAGACTTTCGTGTGACACACGAGGATGCCTTCCACGCAGAAAACTCAGGAATTGCGATGGATCGATCAACGTCACTTCAAGCAACTTTTCGCACTTTTCTCTGACTGCAGGGAATTCAGGCTGATCGAAAACGATACGATTCGAGAGTTGCCGGAAGGAGTCTTCGGTGCAACTTCTTTCGAGAGGATAATCTTTTCCAACTCCTTAGGGACCGCCGTCCATCCCATGGCCTTGCTCCCCTCGAAGGATCGACTGCGGGGAGTGGAGATAGTCTCGAACGCCCTGGAAGAGTTTCCGTTCCACATCGTCTCCCTGCTTCCCAAGGAATTTCTGATTCACCTGTGGGGGAATGTGCTGACCGCTTTGCCACCGCTGAGAAGCGACAGCCTGGAGTACCTCCTTCTCTTCTGGAATCGAATTGCCACTTTCAAATATGGATCGTCTCTCCCGAATTCAAATGTCCTGCATTTGGGTGAGTGATGACGTGGAACGTCTCGCTTTTCATTTGCTTAGGTGAAGGAAGCTATTGGATGACGAGTTCTGGTTTTTCATGGATACTTACCCAAATGAATATTGTTGGCAAACACTTTGTGTCTAAAAAGCAGGCTCCTCAGTCATCAGACTTCTTGGGAAGATGCTTTCGGTGAAGGAAAGATGCCGTTTTTTCCGAAGGAATAAAAAAGAAAAAAGTTGATGCGAGCATCTAAATTACTCGAAGCGATAATGAAAGTAGGCCGAAAATAAGCGCATTTGATGAGGCGTTTTGAATACTTCCGAAATGAAACTGAGTCGGTTTAAGAGGAAGTATACGTGGGTGATTCTTTCTTCATTTTAATTCAACCCTTCAGAAAATAATCCCATCACGGAATTTCAGCATGGGTTCCTCGACGACTTTGGGAACCTCAGGGAGTTTTATTGCGCGAACTGCGACCTCGGACCCACCTTATCAACTGGGACCTTGGATTTCAACAGTACAGCCTGACGATAAATTTTTCTCTCTAGTAACTGGATCTCTAGCCTGGAAGACTCCAGAGTCATTGGTATGAAGCTTCTCCAACTGCAACAATTGACCTGGAGGGTCTATTGTCTATGACTATTCTGGAGCGCAGCACATATGACAAAATTTCAACCTTCACCATAGCACTTCCCTTTTCTTTTCTATGTTTCGGGTCTAACACCCAAATATATATTGCTAACAACACGATCAGAGAATTGGCGGAAGAGTCCTTCCGGCCTATGCAGTCGGGTAGATCTATCTTTATGGTGGGTTACCGTCCTCCGTCTTGCCACAGCCTCCCACATACCTTTCTCATTTTTCCTCTGCTCGCTGACGCTCCTTGCCTCTCCCAATATTCCAGGAAATTCCATCTAGTGTGGATACGGAATGACGTGGTGGGCGCTCAATCCTTGCTTCAATTCGACCATGTTTGGCGATTGCTTCAACGGAACGTGTTTTCAAGAACTGGATCAGGATATCTTTCTATCCTGCAACGAGATAAGCCCCCCGGTGGTGTTCAATAACCCCGACGGGAACTCCTCTCAATATTTTCCCCTTTGTACCTGGAATCACAAAGTACATACTCCCAGAGACGATGAATAAGCATGGGTTTGAAACGGGCTATTTTCGGCGCTATAGCGGAACGACCATTCCGTTAGACTTGCCAATAGGTGGTTACTGGTCATGCGCTTTGGGAGGTTTAGAAATAGCATCGATATTGAGCCCCTTTCCTCTCATTAAAGTACACGCCCAATGCCGACTGGCAGTGAAAACGGAAAATAAACATAATTTTTTTTACTGAAGTTGGCAACAGGCCTGTGCATTCTTTGATGAATGAGAAAATGAGGAGCAACCACGATTTTTAGCCATAGCACATGAGGCAGTGGTATCGGCTCTTTCGCCACATTTTGCTCATGAGCCCCAGGTTCCTGACCCTTGCCCGCATAGACCATCTGTTTCCCGGTCGTTTCTGACTGAATTATGGCGTCGACTGTCGTTTGCCTTCAAGTCATAAACGATAAGCCAAGTCGCCCGGCCCCTATCACTGTTTTGATCGACTCCGTTTTGGCTCCTTTGCTATCTGCTTTCTCACGGGGGATTTCTCACACAAAATGATTATGGCTTTCGCAATCGTTAATCTTGCCAGGTGCAATTCGTCACATCCTGAAGAGGAAAACCGAGACAGTATTTTTCGAATAGTCCAAGTTCGAATAGTCCAGTACCCAATTCGATAGCGTCTACGACCCCCTCCCCAACCACACACCTCCACGATGCAGGAATACTGTGACTCCCTCTTTCTTTCCTACCTCTTCCTGGCCTCCTTCTCCCGCACGACCGGGCAAGACCCGTGCCCCGATCCCGATGACATCCTCCCCTGCATCTGCTCCCAAGACGAAGTTTCTGGAGGCATTTCCGTGGACTGTTCAGGTGCGACGTCAAGCGATCAAATATTCATTGCTTTTAATGACGCCATTTGGCCCATCACGGAACTCGGGTGAGTAACTGTGTGAAGGATATTTCTTCTTATCTCGTAACTTGCACTCACATAATTGTATATCTCAAAAAAAAATAAATGAGGGTTGGAATGCTTGTATGGAAATGATTAAAACCACGTTTGAAGCGAACTTGGAGCAATATACAGTATATGAAGAATCTCCGGCCATATAATGGCTGAAGGATGTGTCAAAATAAGGAATGAAATCGGCGAAGAAGTAGATGTGTAGTGAAGATGATAGTTTTGGAGGGAAAATGAGCTAGAGTACTCGGCCATTCCACTGGCTCCTATACCTCTTGAATTTTCTCCCTTTGAAAGAAATACCCAACATGACAAATAAATGCTATTATTCGTACGTCGGAGCCCTTCAAGAACACTCCAGGACAACTTGACAATGATCTCGATCTCTGTCGGGCGTCCCCGTCGCGTGGAGATGGAAAGAGAGTATGAAGTGCCTGATGCGGCATTCCATCAAGGTCCCTTGCAACCCTGCCTCAGCTGTCAAGACCAATTGCTTTCTCCCTTTATCTGTTATGGATTTGTCATATGGATATGTCACTAACGGTTTTGTCTAAGACTTGCGGCAAAAACTATTGATAGTATGGAAGCTGCACATGCGCACTAATTCGTATTGTGCGGTTAGTGAGGAAACTGCGGACGGACAGAATGAAAATAGAAAGAAAGTGACCTACCGATTGAAATTTTTCCCTCGTACCTATGGGAATAGCAGATTAAGGCTTCTCAACCGGAAATGACAGTTCAAAACCTTTGAGGGACTGGACGACCGAATTCCCGGTTGCGGCAGCTATGTAGAAACTGCTGGAGATTAAGAATGCGCCCACAGGCCACGAAAGACAAAATTATAAAAAATTAGGCCTTGCAGTTTGGATCCTCTACTCAGACATTCTCGCATTGATAAGAGGCTTTGTTAAACCTATGCAAGACGGTACTACTCGTCTCGCTTACCGTAGCCTCGTAACAAGTGCATAGTCATGTATTTTTCTTTACAAATTCTCAAGGTGAAAACCGCGGGTAAACCATGGAGGGTGATGGGGGTCGATACGATTCTCAGATGCTTAGTTGGTCTAGCTAGGCAAGAAATACCCACATCACTCAATGCATCCTGATACGTAGTTCAAGATTCCGCGACCCATAAGAGATGTTAACGACGAGCGAATATATCGACGAACAGAATGGGAGGGACTAAAGACAAATATATTCGATGAAAAATGATTGACATACTACTACAGGCAATTTCGGCTTTACGAGAACGATGCAGTTCAAGACTTGCCAGAAGGGGTCTTCGGTGACGTATCTTTCGAGGAAATAATCGTCGGAAATTCCGTCGTGGGCGCCCTCCATCCCACGGCCATACTCACCTCGCGAGATCGACTTCGAACGCTGCAAGTCTCCTATTGCGCCCTGGAAGAATTTCCCTGGGACGTCATCCCCCAATTCGCGAATCTCACCAGGCTGCATCTCTACGGAAACGCTTTCACCGTCATACCGCCGATCCAGAGTGACAGTCTGGAGGAGCTCCTCCTCTTCGGGAATCATGTCGTTACGCTCGAGGTTGGATCGTCTCTTCCGAACTTGGATGTCCTCCACTTGAGTGAGTATCGTGTTTAACGGGATGATTCAAATGTGGATGACAGTGTCTGTCGCCTCGACTATCCTTTTATTTTACAACCCTCCCACGGATCTTTCGACGGCGTGGAATATTTATTGTTTAAGAAAAATATGGATGATTTTGAGGTGATCCTATTCCTAGTAATTAATATTACAATCTTCACTTTCTTCATAATGTAGATGAAAATCCCATCTCGGAGGTTCCGCCTGGATTCTTCAGCGATATGGGGAAGTTGGGAATGTTTCGTTGTCAAGCTTGTGCCCTCGGACCAAGTTTGCCAACAGGATCCTTTGCATTCCGTAGTCCAGTCCTGAGAAGTGTGATGCTCCAAGACAACCCCATCTCAAGTCTGGGATCGCATGCAATCACTGGTATGTTCAAAGACAGGACTAAATCGAGTGGCAGTGAAAGCTTATATCCGTGTATCGATGACATTTTATTTTTATTTTAGGACTGCGAGAACAAAAACGTTTTTTCCCTTTATTACAGGTTTCGGTTCCGACACGGAGATACTCCTCCAAAATAACCAGATATCCAGTCTGGAACGGCAGCCAATCGCAGGTATGATCGCCTTTCCAAAATAAAAAGCTAGTTGCTGGGATTATTGTAGTTTAAGTAATTTTTGTATTGTCAACATCGCACGCGAAACTTTTTTCAGTCATTGGGACCCAGAGCATTTCGCGTCTTCATTCCAGGTTTCGGGGCTAACACGCAAGTAATTCTCTCTAACAATGAATTAAGTGAAATGACGGAAGAGGTCTTCCGGGAGATGCTACAAGATCTGGTTCCTGGAAACGGGTTCGTCCTCCTGCAGGGTGAGTCGTGCTGTTGCTCACCACCCTCCACGACGTAGCCTCCCGCATCCCCTTCTCTTCTTTCCTCTGCCATTTGCCAATTCTCCACTCCTCCACTCCATTTCAGGAAACCCGATCGAGTGCGGATGCAGTATTGCTTGGTGGGTGTTTGAGCCAGACCTTTTCCTAACGGTGTTCGGCCAATGCACCGACGGAAATACCTTTCAGACACTGGATCCGGCTGACTTTCTGGATTGCATTAAGATGGATTCTTTAAAGGCCGACGATTTCACCGAAGGAATCGCTTCTCATTAGTGTGTCCGGCAATTCACGCTGAGTCCTTATATGAGCTCAAAGGAACCCTACCCTTTAATGAATTAACGCGTCCCTCTCAAGTCTCGTATTGCTGTATTTGACTGCAAGAGAGAATTGTCCCCAAATATTGCATAGATGCTTCGATGGGCCCCGATATTTTCCCATGAATAGCGGCAGTTGATCCATTCTTATTTGGTTACCTGCGCGAGTGGTCATGTTCAGGATTGCACGAGGGAAGGGAAGGATCCGCAGATCCTTTTGAAACGATTTTCAGAATAGAGGAGATTAGAGATATTAGATTGCTGGGGAGAACTGGAAAGCCGATGGAAGTGAAGCGAAAGCAGCAGAGATACGAGGACGATGAAAACATGGATCCTTGTTATTGAAGTTCATGAAGGTCTTCCAGTCTCTGACCTCATCTATCCCGGAAAAGTTGGGCTGAATAGACCCGCTAAGTATGACGTCACGGGCACCACACAAGCACGTGCTGTTGCCAAACACTTCCAAGCAGGGCTGTGTTCTCCAGGTGTGGTCTTTTTTTATCTCTCCCCCCCACAGGTCCTGTGCCTTGTTCGGTGCTAGGAGAAAAGGTCGAGGACGACATGTCGCCAGGATAAAATGCCTTTGGACTCAATGTCGCCTAACAAAATCTCACGAGGACAAAATGTCACGGATAAAAGTATTGGACAAATGTCAAGAAGATCTACTATCGCTTGACAAAATACTCGGTTTTTCGTAATTAAGTATGCGTAATAGCCCTGACGATCATGTTGGAATCGTGCGTAGAGGTAAAAAATGGACCCTAGGATGTCCCCCTAGCATTTTAGAAGTACCTTGTCTACGAAAATCCAGCTAACATGGTAACCATCTATAGACAATAGACCATTGAAACCTTTTCAGGAAGTCTGTACGTTCCCACGCCTCTTACATTCCCGCTGGTTATTCGGGAGAGGAAATTGAATGTTCTTTATGAAGAGCTGATATACATCTTGTCATTTATTGTTGAGGGGGAGGGAAACAACCCAAGGACAAATATTAATTTTCCTCTTCATCCGCCCTCCTTAAAAGTCCTCCTCGCCCCTAATCCTCTTGTTTTGAAAATGCCTGATGAAGGAGATTCCTATTCCGCACGGAGGTGCCCCTAAGCTAAAAAAGCCATTCAAAATAGATTAGGAAATCAAATAGCAGTGGAAGGAAACAAATTGACAATGGTACGGGGGGGGCACTCGATACATAATCTACCTTGCCATGAACGAGTTGAGATAGAGCAAAATTGTATTCAGCGTTTTCAATAGTCTCCCTGGAGTTCAACGCACTTCCTCCATTTCTGGGGCAGAGAGGAAATCCCTGAAAAATAGCAGTCTGTCTTTCTCCTTGAACCACTCTGAGACACCATCTTTAAGTCCATCGTCGCTTGAAAACCGACGTTCACGTAGGTGTTTCTCCAGGTTTTGGAATAGGAAATAATCACTGGGCGCCAGGTCGGGACTGTAGGGTGGATGGTTCGATTCCTCAAAGCCACAGTCTCTTACAGCAGCGATTGCATTTCGTGAGTTGCGTACTGGAGCGTTGTCGTGAAGCAGCAGGACACTCCTCAATTTCCCTCGTCGTTTTTCCTTCATGGCCTCCTTTCAATTCCGCAGCACAGCTGCATAGGCATCCCCTGTGATTTGGTCCTCAGTGTAAGGAATGTCTTGGCTCCGACGGGTCTGGAGCTTGTCTGGAGTCAACTTTCTAAGAATCCGTCTTACGGCCCGAGGGAAAGGATGTTGCATTATCTTCGGATATCCGTTCACTTCCCTGCTAGTGCGGAATGAATTGTTCCCGCTGGTTTCCTGGAACAAAATGGAGAACCACCTCATTATGCATTACTTGTTTATGATTGTCTTGATGTGGAAACCTTGGAATCACTCTCTCCGACTACTGCATGTAAGAGAGCTTACATGTCATTGTTCTGAAAATTCCACTTCTCCGTCGGGATTGGTTCCCATTTTTCCCTATGGCGAAACGTTGGCTACGCCAGGGAAACAAAGTGATCTTTCTTCCAGAGGGGGCAAATTGTTCGCAAAAAAACCTATTGGCGTATCGGATTTCAATATTTCGGGATTCTGAAGTACGTAGTACCAAGTATCAAGTATCAACGGTAAAAACTCCTTCCCAGATTCGTAATGCCTAGCCAGTAACAAAGCAAAAAAGGCTCGTGAAGGCACAGAGCAGAAGTATTTAGCAGAATCCTCAATTTCAAGGAGAATGCGAATGGAACAGGTCCACCGCAGTATCATCTAGTTTGTACCAAGATGGACGAGAAATGTCAAGAATCCCAATTACTCAAATCTCAGACAGTAAAAGACGGGAACGTAAAACAAATCACAAGGGTTAACTTCCGAGAAGGCATAGGTGAGTATTGGATACATGGTTGGATTCGCAAAATCACGGCACCATCTCGTGGTAGGGAGCAGGGGGGACCACGAAAGCCGAGGGCATGAAATCGTCAGCTGCCTCAAACTTTGGAGGGTTTCCTCGCGAGTTCGGGGGGGGGGGAGGACAGAAGCAGCACGGTAGGTAGGAGTCGAGTTCCGTTCGAAGTCACAGATACTCGCATCGAAATGTCAGCTATATGTTCGATGCTGGTGATACCTGAGTGGACAAAGAAAATGTTCACGGTATTGAGCAACGTCATAATGGAGAACCGAGGCTGGGAGTGCGAGAGTGAATATGAAAAAGTGTTCATACAAACTGCATTAACTTATTCCATTATAAACATGATTGATCACCAGCGTTTTTGAGGCTTCATATTCTCAGGACCATCCAGCACCTCAGAAAGTATTGATCAAGTAAAAATAGTAAGCAAAGACCCGCAAAGTGCGTTGTTAACTTGACCTTTCCCTTGTGTACCATAAGTGTATATTTTGATTATTTATTTGCTCTAGAAGAGAGGAAGTGGCACCATCTTGTGAGCTTCATAACATTCTCAAGGATGAAAATAACTCAACTTTAACTATATACAGTATGTTTAGGGTGGGCTCGCAGCTGTTTGTCAGCATGGGAAATTCAGCTGGGCATCCGATTTGATATCACAGAGCCCAAGAATGAAAGGAAATGAGAGGGAAAATGGCATATCCTTCCACCAATGACGCTGACCACATGTGATGACTCATGCAAGGCCAACTGCCTCCCCAATCCCTTAAGAGGGAGCGGTTATCGGGAAGAGGATGTGAAGGAGGAAAAGGGATAGGACCATCCTTTGTTCTTTAGTACTCGTGATGACATGGCTGCGTCTTTCTGCCATGATTCCATCGTGGTTTTTCATAGTTCATGCCATCCTCCACGTCCTCCTCCAACAAGGTGAAAAACGCACTCCCGCATGCCTTGCTGCGCTTTGAAATATTCATTCAGAGTTCAATTGCTTTCATAGGAGAGGGGTTGGAATGCTTCCAATGTGGACCAGGAAAAAAAGCTTGCCACTCGTCAGGGGTGGAGATGGAAGTGATCTCGTGCAATGGGACTCGGTTCTGCGTCAAGGACTACAACAAGAGGAAATCTGTTGGCACAAAATGGCGTGAGTCGATACGCACTATACTTTCAAACACCCTCAGCTTACGTCTGCACTATCTGTATTTAGACTCGGCTGAGAGAAACTTAATGTAAGCTCACGAATCCCCCTGAAAGAGGCTTACAACTAACTTGGGTTTCTCAAACTTCTTACCTTTCCTCCCCGGTGTCCATCTCTACGTTCGCCTTCTTTCTACCTTTTTTTCAAGTTGGTCCGTGCCTTCCAAATTGTTTACAATTTTATATCGTTCTTCTCAATGGTTCTTGCCTTTCTTTTTGTCTTCATTTCATCTTATTCTCTTCATTTTAATATGTGAATCCTTCTTTTTCATTCATTTTCAGGCCAGGAAAGTATTCAGCCCATTTCCACGTTTACAATGTTGATGCCGTTTATTAACACTTTTTTCTTGATGCGTGAATTCAAAATAACTTGAATTACTCTCCCAAAACATCCCAAAAGTTTCTCTGGTTCAAAGTCAAAACTTCTCCTATGAGAATCCAAGCCTCAGCACGATCAACGGTCAGGTGGTTCGTGACAGCACTTATTGGAATACACAGTCACGTCTTCTTAGTGAAGTAGATCATAAGTGAGTCCTTTGCCCGTAAACCTAATGACTTTCCTTCATCAAGCAGATGTTAGGAAATGTGGATGCTGATTCACGTAATTCATGTGACGACAAAGAACTGAAAGCACCTTGTTATTGGAACGGCAGAAATGTTGGAGGACGCGTACGGATGTTGGGAAGGAAAACCAGAGGGAGTCTTCCCGAACGATGAGACGAAGATAATATCAGACTGCTTCCCCTACCATTTTGACGACCCCCAACATAAAGAGGGCAACATTTGCTTCTGTCAGGAGGACCGCTGCAATGGTTCAATCGTTCCACATCCGACGTTCTCTCTTTTCATCCCTCTCCTTCTCATTGCTCTTTATGTGACTATTGGAACGACTAAGATAAAGACTATGTAAGTACCTCAGTCATTCAAGGGAATTGTCCTACTCCGTTTTAATTAAGCTGACCAAGGAAAATCTCTCGATCTTTTCGTACGTATAGAGTCAGGAAGATGAGTCCGCAACCTAGAAGTATAACATAAGAGTGGAAATGATACTACTGGTAGGGATTTGAATCTACTTTATTTTGCCTCAGCCTGGATTTCTGTTCATATTATAACATATGTGTTTTCATGAACCAAAGGAATCCATTAGGAAATGTGTTTCTTTTGCGTTACTGTTCTACTTCTTGCTTCGGAGTCCACTGCAACCCCATTCAATGAGATTCTTACCCTCCAGGAATACTTTTTCTGACTGATGAGGCAGAAAATTCTCTCAAGAATGATCACAGTACAGAGCCTGCTGGTGCTGGCACACGATTTTACGGCATGTAATGCAATCATGCTGTTGGGGAAGCAAATGTGGTAATTAAATGTGGTAAATTGTGGTAAATTCGAGGTGATTCTCAGACAAAACTGTCATTCAGGCAACCCGCACGTCCAAAAAACCACACACAGGAGCTCATAAAGGAAAGGGAAAGAATGAGGAGAGGTGAACGAATGTAGATCGTTGTGTCTCGGTTTCACCTTCTCATAGTCCAAATAGGGAAACGCAGAGACTACTTGGCCGCATCCGACAAAGATTTAATGCAGACAGCAGGAAATCGAAAAACGGGAAACCTTTCACTCGAGAATGGGTTTTATGGTGAACGCCTTACTGAAACGTTGAAAAAAAAACATGGAGGTACACACTTCGGCATAGGTCATCCGTGTGGACACAACATATTAAAGAGACCTTTAAGTCGACCGTGAAATCGACATTGCTTACATGTTGATTACATGGGTGCATCTTTCGCCGATGAAAGAGGGACCTCTCGTTCTTGACAGTCAAGGATTCAGGCGCGTCTCGTATGAGAAAGCCAGCTCCTTGTGCTTCATCTCGGCAATGAATTCTGTAGCGTATTCTTAACACGTTGAAGACCAGCCTATTTTTGCTTGTCCGCCGCGTGGGACCACGCGCATTTTTTTTTCAAAGAATGCGTCCTGCCATCAGGACGCATGGTCCCAGAAAACAATTTTTTTTGCCGAGTTTTTTTTTTTAATGTTGANATTCCATCGTGGTTTTTCATAGTTCATGCCATCCTCCACGTCCTCCTCCAACAAGGTGAAAAACGCACTCCCGCATGCCTTGCTGCGCTTTGAAATATTCATTCAGAGTTCAATTGCTTTCATAGGAGAGGGGTTGGAATGCTTCCAATGTGGACCAGGAAAAAAAGCTTGCCACTCGTCAGGGGTGGAGATGGAAGTGATCTCGTGCAATGGGACTCGGTTCTGCGTCAAGGACTACAACAAGAGGAAATCTGTTGGCACAAAATGGCGTGAGTCGATACGCACTATACTTTCAAACACCCTCAGCTTACGTCTGCACTATCTGTATTTAGACTCGGCTGAGAGAAACTTAATGTAAGCTCACGAATCCCCCTGAAAGAGGCTTACAACTAACTTGGGTTTCTCAAACTTCTTACCTTTCCTCCCCGGTGTCCATCTCTACGTTCGCCTTCTTTCTACCTTTTTTTCAAGTTGGTCCGTGCCTTCCAAATTGTTTACAATTTTATATCGTTCTTCTCAATGGTTCTTGCCTTTCTTTTTGTCTTCATTTCATCTTATTCTCTTCATTTTAATATGTGAATCCTTCTTTTTCATTCATTTTCAGGCCAGGAAAGTATTCAGCCCATTTCCACGTTTACAATGTTGATGCCGTTTATTAACACTTTTTTCTTGATGCGTGAATTCAAAATAACTTGAATTACTCTCCCAAAACATCCCAAAAGTTTCTCTGGTTCAAAGTCAAAACTTCTCCTATGAGAATCCAAGCCTCAGCACGATCAACGGTCAGGTGGTTCGTGACAGCACTTATTGGAATACACAGTCACGTCTTCTTAGTGAAGTAGATCATAAGTGAGTCCTTTGCCCGTAAACCTAATGACTTTCCTTCATCAAGCAGATGTTAGGAAATGTGGATGCTGATTCACGTAATTCATGTGACGACAAAGAACTGAAAGCACCTTGTTATTGGAACGGCAGAAATGTTGGAGGACGCGTACGGATGTTGGGAAGGAAAACCAGAGGGAGTCTTCCCGAACGATGAGACGAAGATCATATCAGACTGCTTCCCCTACCATTTTGACGACCCCCAACATAAAGAGGGCAACATTTGCTTCTGTCAGGAGGACCGCTGCAATGGTTCAATCGTTCCACATCCGACGTTCTCTCTTTTCATCCCTCTTCTTCTCATTGCTCTTTATGTGAGATAACCTTGCTGATTCTATTTCTGATACATTCATGGAGTCAGTAAGTTCCCTTAACAGGATGAGGCAAAATTAATTCGACTGGTTCCTTTTAGAGAGCTAGAAAAGCATGCATATCTCAGTCCTTCGTGAGTCCGCAACCTAGAAGTATAACATAAGAGTGGAAATGATACCACTGGTAAGGATTTGAATCTACTTTATTTTGCCTCAGCCTGGATTCATGTTCATATTATAACAGATGTGTTTTCATGAACCAAAGGAATCCATTAGGAAATGTGTTTCTTTTGCGTGACTGTTCTACTTCTTGCTTCGGAGTCCACTGCAACCCCATTCAATGAGATTCTTACCCTCCAGGAATACTTTTTCTGATTGATGAGTCAGAAAATTCTCTCAGGAATGATCACAGTACAGAGCCTGCTGGTGCTGGCACACGATTTTACAGCATGTAATGCAATCATGCTGTTGGGGAAGCAAATGTACTTATTCGAGGTGATTCTCAGACAAAACTGTCATTCAGGCAACCCGCACGTCCAAAAAACCACACACAGGAGCTCATAAAGGAAAGGGAAAGAATGAGGAGAGGTGAACGAATGTAGATCGTTGTGTCTCGGTTTCACCTTCTCATAGTCCAAATAGGGAAACGCAGAGACTACTTGGCCGCATCCGACAAAGATTTAATGCAGACA